CTGCACTCCAGCCTGGGCGACGGAGTGAGACTCCAACTCAAAAAAAAAAAAAAAAAAAAAGATCAAACTCTGCAGATATGTTACCTACTGAGAAAAAGTGACAATAAATAAACATGGCCGCAGGTGCAGCTCAGAAGCAGCAGCACAGGAAGCTGCCTCCCATGGGGACAGGGTGGTTGTCGGGTCCCCCCGCCCTCCATGGAGTGGAGGTCTGCTCAAAGTCAAGGGCACCGGGCCCAGCCCATGTCTCCAGTCTGCCCCCCGCTGAAATGGCTGAGGCACTTTGGGGAGTTTGGGCTCATTAATTAGACCAGGACAAGCACTTCTCAGTCTTGATTATACATTAAAATCTTCTGGGAGCTGGGCTCGATGGCTCAGCCTGTAATCCCGCGCCTTTGGGAGGCTGAGGTGAGTGGATTGCCTGAGCCCACGGGTTCGAGACCCGCCTGGGCAGCGAGACCTCATCTCTACAATAAATCAAAAAATCAGCCGGGCGTGGTAGCGCATGCCTGTAATTCCGGCTACTCGGAAGGCTGAGGCGGAAGGATCGCCGAGTCCAGCAGGTCGAGGCTGCGGTGGCCGGGAGCGGCCACTGCACTCCAGTCTGGGCGACAGAGTGAGACTCCAACTCAAAAAAAAAAAAAAAAATCATCTGGGAATCTTTATTTATTTATTTCTTTATTTGGAGTTGGAGTCTCACTCTGTAGCCCAGGCTGGAAAGCAGTGGCACGCTCACGGCTACCACAGCCTCAACCTGCTAGACTCGGCGATCCTTCCGCCTTAGCCTTCCAAGTAGCTGGAACTACAGGCAGGTGTCACCACGTCTGGCTATTTTTTTTTTTTAATTTATTGTAGAGGTGAGGTCATGCCAAGTTGCCCAGGCTGGTCTTGAACCCCTGGGCTCAGGTAATCCTTTTGCCTTCGCTTCCCAAAGTGCTGGGATTACAGGCATGAACCACCGCACCTGGCCTGTAATCTTTGAAAAATACCAACTTCCAGGTTTTTTTTCCCCAGACAGCCCAAATCAGAATCTCTCCCCTTTTTCTTTTTTTAAATCTGAGTCTCACTCTGCTGCCCAGGTTGGAGTGCAGTGGCACAATCACAGTTCACTGCAGCCTCAGTCTCCTGGGCTCAGGAGATCCTTCCCCCTCAGCCTTCCAAGTAGTTGGGACTACAGGTGTGTGTCACCACACCTGGCTAATATTTTATTGTTTGCAGAGACAGAGTCTCAACATGTTGCCCAGGCTGGTCTCGAATCCCTGGGTTCAAGCAATCCTCCCGCCTCGGCCTCTCAAAGTGCTGGGATTACAGGTGTGAGCCGCTGCACCCAAATTAGCATCTAATATCAAAAACTCCTCAGTCATGCGGGGAGAGCCAGTTTCTTGGACTTTCTGAGTTAGCTCATTTATCTAGAAACCTGGAAAAAGGAAAAGAGGATATTCAGTAATGGAAAAGTAACATATCCCATCAAGTCTGTCAAGATGAAGTCAGAATGCAAGTGGTTTTTTATTTGACTTGGCTAGAATGTGTGATCAACCTGGTTTTCGCCCTCGGCAGCCCAATTCTGAAACGAAGCCCTGACATCACCAAATCACCTCTGACGAAGTCGGAGCAGCTTCTGAGGATAGACGACCACGATTTCAGCATGAGGCCTGGCTTCGGAGGTACGAGGTGATGGCTCTTGGGTGGCTCCTTCCTTCAGGCCCCTGTCTGCCCGAGGGCGGAAGGTCAAGCCCAGGGACCTCGCAGCGTTGCCCTTTCCCGCGGAGGTCTGCCTCGGTGGTGCCTGGTAGACAAGGCGCTGAGCCCACAAGACTTTTCTTTCTTTTTCTTTTTTGAGTTGTGGTCCTTTCTGTGGCCCAGGCTGGAGTGTGGTGGCACAATCACGGCTCACAGTAGCCTCGACCTCCTGGGCTCGGGTGATCCTTCCGTCTCAGCCTCTCCCAAGTGCACCACCACGCCGGCCAATTTCTTTTTCTTTCTTTCTTTCTTTCTTTCTTTCCTTCTTTCTCTCTCTCTCTCTCTCTCTCTCTCTCTTTCTTTCTTTCTTTCTTTTGGTAGAGATGAGGTCTCTCTAGGTCACCCAGGCGGGTCTCAAACTCCTGGGCTCAAGCGATTCTCTCGCCTCAGCCCCCAAAGGCGTCAGCCACCACCCGGCTACCTTCTGAGCCATCTGCCCGGCCCCGACTGGGTGCCCCTGAGCACTTTCTCAGAAGGCACCTGCTGCTTGCGGCAGGTGTGGTCAGCCAGCTGTCCTCGGGCCACTCCTCCTGGCAAGGGTGGCTCAGGATCTGGGGGGCCAGCAGCCGGCTGTGGGAAGGGTGAGGGGAATGAGAGAACAGCCTCGGCCCAGCTTTGTCCCCAGCAAGAGCTGGCAGCGGCATTCAGGGTCCGCGTGTGGCCGGTGGGTCTTCATGAACGTGGCTGAGGAAAGGGCGATTTGGAGCAGAAGACGGCAAAGGCAGGGCTTGGCCTGCAGCTACCGGGGTCCAGCCCTCCCCGTGCCAGGGAGGGCCACACGCTTGCGGTGTCTTTTCCCGGAAAGGATATTTTGGAAGTCGTTCTCATGCCTTCTCATTCTTCCAGTCACCGCCGCCCAAAGCATGAAGAGGTTCCAGAAGGGAGTCTCTCTTCGGCCCGTTATCCTTACGGTGGGTCCCAACCCACCTTTTCTTTTCTTTGAGTCGGAGTCTCACTCGGTTGCCCAGACGGGAGTGCAGCGGCCACTCCCGGCCACCGCAGCCTCGACCCGCCGGGCTCCGGCGATCCTT